AGAGGTTCTTCCCATTACAGATTAAGAATAATTTGAAGCTGGATCCTTACATCCACATCTCACAAGCTTGGATCTAACAGATCTTTAGATAGCTTGACAGCTACTACAAATTTTTCAATGCTACAGACCTCTACCTGTCCTGATGTTAAACATGGATGATCTCTGATCACTACAGTCATGTCAGAAGAAGCTTTAAGGAAGTTAGTTATGCAAAACCTGTGTTGTTACTGATACTTTATTTTATTCATAGGTATAATTTTACTATATTATTGCAAGTATAGCCTGTCTATATCCCCAAAAGGTATGCTACTATATCCTATCCAAAACAACCAAAAAGACACACACACTTAATGTAAGCACAGCTTAAACTGACAAAATCCTGTAGCAAGTCACTCCATTTCCACAAGTGTGAAGTAGATTCTAGATGAAGTTCAAACAGTTGACTGTGGGACAATGACACACGTTTCACCAAAATTCTCCTACAAGCTCTCTAAAATAGGAGCGCACTACTCCCTTCTACTGAACTTGCAGAGTAACGTATTATTCTCCAACAGCCAACTCATAGTTCTCCTTCCAGTATCACATCTAGCTCAATACACCAAGTTCCTCTCTTTTCCTTAAGGTTCCCTATGACCTTTCTATTTATACCCTTAAAAAGTAAACTGAAAATAAGAACGGAAAGCACCTCAGCCTTTAACCACTATAAACTCTGTACTGTAAGATCACTTTCAAGTTTGTTTTTAAATAGTATACCTACACTTTTACCAAGTGGCTTATGACACAAAATACTGCCATCTTACTGACCTTTTAATCAGAAGCTCACTCTACTTAACTTCCAGTTCACAGTCTTTATCTACAAGTTATTGTAGTGATCCTACTGCATTGACTGAATTTGCTTATTCCTGTAGGCATTTATTAGAACACAATTATAAAGAAAGAGGAGATGAACTGAAATAGCCTTTCACTGATTGTCAGCCTCCTCCTTTCCAGAATTCTTCAGCCAAGCAGGCAGCTCTATTTTTTCACTGTACTTCGCAGAACATGCATGAGGACAGATGATAACGCTATGGAGGACTAGCTACTAAGCTTTATTTTCCTAAATTCATGTTCCTATTCTACTCTGACAACTTTAGCAAGAGCTTACAGAAGATATGAATGGAAATCAGTTTCAGGACTTAAGAGAGTTAACTAGAAACAAACCTAAGGCTACAAAAAGCAACTCTTACCCCTTCCTCACTTCCACTGATGTGCTACTTCTTAAACCTAATCACATTTAGAAACTATGTTTTGTTTTTTTTTTTTTTAAAAAAAGTATTTCACATGCTGAAAAAAATAAGTCTTCTCAGCCTTGCACAGTTGACCTTAATTACCCCCATTAAACACACCCCTCCTGGTGAGGCAGCCGCTAATTGTGTAGGTTTCAAACTAAAGATAGCACTGTCTAAAAGAAAATACCATATAATCAGAGATGATGATCTCATTTAAGTGTTGACATAAAGTTACAACTCCGATTAGAAAAATAACAAATATTTGTTCAATTTCCTGTAGAACTCCACTTCAGAGACATACAAGCATTTCACATTTGCTTCTAGCTTCACTCATGAAGCGATCACACCTTCAAACACTCCCGTTAAAGGAAATCTTTACAAGTTTTGGAGTAACTACTCTCTCCCAAAACATCCTAACTGAAGCTAAAGATCTTCAAAGAAAAAGTAGGCTTGTACTAGAAACTCATCACCACCTGTCATGTTTCCTCCCCTAAATTGAAAGACCATACATATTCAACAACTACACTGAGGAATTTCATTAATTCAGAAAGAAATCATTTGCAATTTATCATATTAAGCTGATAGAAAACTAAGTCACTCTTTCTACTGATGTTTGTCTTCTCAAGACACGGGCTGCTTGCAACAGTTGCACAGCTCAATTACGCAGATGCACTATCCTGGCACTGTACAGGCGTGCTCCTGTCATGAGTTATTTGATAAGTCATTTAAACTGTCAAGCTAACTCAGAGGTGATAGATGCGTACCCAACCGCAAGAACAGTAGTCCACACTCTTAAAGAGTAGGCACATAAATGTGTGTGGGTTTTTTGCAGTATATAGTTAAAACAGCACTAAACTTTGTCCGAGTCTTCAAAGCTAATCTACATGCAGCATCCATACTGCCATAACCAAGGTTACTTACTGTAACCAGACTACATTAAGCCCAACATTTTCTCCACTGTAAACTGTTATATCTAGGGTGTTAGCTACTTCAGAGTGAAAGGAAAGTCGTGGACAAGTATGAATAGGATATTTTCAACCTAATGTAACATGGTGTAAAAAAAAAAAAACCAAACCCTATTTGTTTTGAGACCTGTTAAGTCTGAAGTGATAATGCACATTCACTATAAAACTTAGGAAAGACTTCTTTAAAAGACCAATCAACTACAAATCAAAACTAAGACTCTTTAAATGCCTTTCATAAACAGTTCTTTTGAATATAAAACAATATGAAGAAACCCCTCTCATACTTGTTGCTCTCCCATCTTACCAGTGAACACCTGAGCAAACTTTGACTATATATGCTTTAGTACTATTCTAACTTTATAGAAGTTAAGAGATAAGAGTACAAAGCTTCCAGGTCTTTTAAAGAAAAATTAACAATGTAAATATTGATTTCAACACTACTTGGCTCAGAACAACTAACTTAAAAGCAGTTCCCTTGAGCTTCTAAACCTCAAGGAACTAGTGTAGACACCTAAACCACGCTGTATGGGTTCTTGACTTCAAAAAGCAGTCTGCTTTAATAACAAAGTACGGCTCATTTACTTAAATAGAGTAACTGTTTCTGTTTGCAGGAAAGAATACATAGAAGTGAAACAGGATTATTTTTTTTTTCACATTATGAAATTTATTGTGTGTTTATCACATTCAAAAAGCATTGACCAGTGTTGTTTTGGGTTTTTTTTTGTAACTGTTAGAATGCCAGTGTAAAGCTGGTATATTTAGAAGCTTAATTAGCACCTAACAGATGACTGTAAACTTGAAGAAAATTTGAACAGCCATGTATTTGAGACTTTAGACTTCCAATAGTTCTGTGGGCACAACAGAGTAATTTAAAAAGGTAAAAAAGAAACTGAATGCTTTGGAAAGATCAGACAGAATCATGAACGTATGAAATTTAATCTTAAGTTAAAAAGATTTTAAGGGTTTGATGATTAAATCCTTACCCCCATTTTCATGTCTGTTTAAAATCTAATTTCAGTCTAAGCTTAAATTTTTACATCTGTCATGATTGCCTACATGGGCAATTATGGAAAAAACAGGATGAAAACTGCTTTGGTATGAACGCTGAGAGATTCTTCACAAGGCATTGCAAGGCTGAAACAGGAGTGGGTTGGAGAAGAGACAGTAATTCACATGGAAAAAAATGTAAAGTCCGTTGCATGAAAATGCCCCAATGTTGAGCAAAAGACATGCAAGAAAAGCTGAAGTAGCAGTGGAGAGTGGGTCTGATTAGGTTTTGATAGATGGAGAAAACTGAAAACATTTCCCCACTGTATAAGTGACATTATCCACAGTCTTTATTCAAATATAGGGAACAAAATCTGATTAAGAGAGAAATTTGATAAGCTTTACAGAAAGCCCTCTACAGAGCTAGTTTTGAAAAAGGGACAGATAATTGCTTAATCTCAAAATTAAGACTGAAGTATACCAATAGTACTTTACATCAGTTATCTTTAAGAATGCATGAAAAAGGACAATTTATTTTTAAAAGGGTGTCCTCTAAATACGGCATACATATAAAGTACTCTAACATCCTGGATTTTTTTCAAAGCTTTTTGAGAAACACACACAAATAATTCAGATTTAGTCAATTTTATTTACAGTTTGTTTTTTTACATTTCAGAGCATTACACAATTACATATTCTCATTTTCTGACCTGCAAACAGATACCTTAAACGGAAATATTAAAAAAATGAAGTTAGATACATCCAAAATGCAACAATTACACATCTGACAATTCACAAAGTGTAATTTACTAGGACGTATCCTAAGAATTTAGGAACAACCAGTCAGGAGAAAATCTGACCAATTTCAGCAATCAATTATTTACACATTCAAAACAAAGCCTCTCTTAATCTAAACCTCCAGGCAAATGGCCTGAAAGATTTCTTCAGGAAGAAAGACCAGAAGTTACAATTCACACCTATGCAGCATTAACAGCCCTTGATCCCAAATACTGAGTGACTTCTCAGCTTTGTCTTAGAGCTACAGGCATCCCTCTCAGCTTCTCAGACCCTGAAGTGTTATATTTGTGCCCCCATGTGCATAGAAAGGCTGAGTGTTTAAGTGGTCACTACGATAAAACCCCATTTAATCTGGTCTTTAAGTTACATGAATTTTTCTTCCTTAAAAATTTCAGCAAGTCTTCTAATGCCATTTAAACTGGCCTATGTGGATTGGGGCATGCCTCCTTCAGATGTTTAAGCATGCTTTGAACCAATTTGCACTAGGCCAGACTAAATACGTTAGAGACTATTTAAAATAATCTTTAAAGACCATTTCGACAAGGCTTACATTTCTACACTTCCCTGATGGGCCACCTAAAAAAAAAAAAGTCACAGCTACTACTTTCATCCCTTGTGTTAACCCTTTGCCACACAGCAACTAGTTATATACTGGGTAGAAACTACTAAAAAATTCCCTGCAAGTAAGCTGCCTTTCAGCTGAGGCTATGGCTCCTATGCATTGGGTGTTTGAGGAGGTTTTTTTTCTTTAAAAAAAAATTCTCACTTGAAAAATACTGAAGTTCTCACTTTAGGCTAATTTTGATTGCATGTTCAATTTGTTTAACTGTCAGGAAACTGCTACAAATGGAACAACTTTAGTATAAAAAGAGCAGTCAACCGAGTGCAACTTCTGACTTGGCAAGTCCTTCATGGTAGTTCTCTAACTAGGCTATGAATTTTGTGGAGCCTCCAGATTTCTTGCCTACCTTACTTTCCATGTTCACGTTTCAAACTGTGTCAGCAGGGCCCGAACTTCGGGAGTCAGCTGCTTAGCAGCCTTAGCTGCCTCTGTGACGGCCTTGCGGTAAAGACCCTTTCTCTTCTTATTAAAGCGCAACTGGAAGCTTTCTAAAAAGGGGGATAGTTGTGCAAGAGCAAGAAAAGATGTTGTTGTGGAGCCAAACCACGAGATACGAGCCTCCTGTCGAACTAAAAGGCCATTATCTTTCCGGCTCACAGTTATGGTAAGAATACGGGCTGGCCACCAAGGGAAGCCGTAAATCTTGGCCCAAACAATGTCCCCTACACATACGGTCCTGCCATCTGGTGTGACACACTTAGAGACGTTTTTGGAAAAGACTTCCGTTTTCAAGGAATTACTGAGCTTTTTCTCTTCCTTTGAAGAGGAGGAGGAGGAGGAAGGTGCATGCATGCTGCCTGGAGGAAAATCAAAGCTTTCAGTAGAGCTACACTCAGAGTTGGTAGATTTCAAATCATCTGTGCTATCACTACTACAAACTGATGCACTGGAAGAGTCAGATTTCTTTTGATTAAGGGTCATGTAAACCGTTATATTGCTTTTGCTGCCTCTCTTGCCCAATGTCTGGTGTTCATCCTGATCAACAGTTACATGCACTTCACTTGTGTCCTGAACCTCACTGCTGGCCTCTTCAGGGCCTTCTGAGGGGCTCTGATTTTCTGAAGGGGCCTCACCTGCTGAGCGGGTGGAGGAGCAGCGAGACTGGGGCTTAGTTGCCATCTTGCCACTCCGTATTTTCTCAAGTCCTGTCTTGAGAGAAGAGTCATTTTCTTCATTCCGATACCTTTGTGGCTTTAAACGCAATCGGGGTGGGAGGGAACCTGAGCTGGTGTTCTGAAGACGCCGTGTGAAGTGGACCTTTGAATGTGCATTTTTGGAAGAGGAGGTTGCACTCTGCTTCTTTTGTGCCTTTTCTTTGGCCATTTTCAAGACTTCCCGAGCTTTTGCATGATCCATGTTTTTGCTCTGGAGAACTTTTTTTGTATTTAACTGCGCTTTTGAAGTGTTTGCTTGTGCGGAAACTTTAACTACTCTGCTTCTGCTGTGGGCAATATTTGAAACCTTGACCACAGCATTCCTTTTCTGGCTTTCATTTTGGCTTTTTCCATCCACTTTATGATCAGTCTTAAGTTTTTTATTCACAGTAGTCACACTCTCATTTCTTCGTTTTTTATTATCCTCATATTTTGAAGAGTCACTTGCATTGCCACCTTTTTTAATTTCCTTTTTTTCTGCAACAACACTGTTTTTGCACTTGTCACATAAGACCTGCCGGGGTCGTAGTTTGATAGCATTCATGATAGAAGTGGGTTCCTCCCTGTACATTTTACGCTTGGGCCGCTTAATTTTCCGGGGTGGAGGCTGAGGTATTGACTGGTTATATGTGTCCCTGATAAACAAAGGAGGAGGATATGGCGCTCCCTCATGAAAGAGAGGAGGTGGTTTAGAAGTCCATAGGCTTTTAGCTATGCTAGGTTCTGATGGCTGCGTGAGAGAAGAGTCATCAGGGACTGCAGCATTAGATTCACACTTCACCTGTGCCTCATCTTGGAATGGTTTACTTTGGAGCTGCATGGCTTCAGGTTTATCCTTGTATTCCCTTTTAGGAAATATGGTCACAGGGATTCCATGGGGTCCGAACCTTAAAGAGAAAAAAAAAAAATTTAAAGGTTTTGAGGGATCTTTTGCTGCATTTATTAAAAACCGTTTGAAAACCTGCCCAAATTATGTAGCCACCATTTGAAAGACATGAGTCCCAGGAAAATTAAAGCTTCATATCTAGCCTTATGGTAAGCTTTGAAAAAGCAGGACACCAAAACCAAGTCAGTAGAGAACATGAAATATATAACCTCACTTATTATCAGTTTCTCTTGTATCAATAAGACGCCCTGAAAACATAACAAAAAAATGTCACCTAGAGACAGCAGTAAAAGAATTAACTTTGTACTTTTAGAAAATGCTTATGAACATACAAACTACACACTCATCCCATCAACTCCAAATCTACCCAGGATTAATTTCCATAAGTCAACTTATCTGAAAGAGGCATCTTCAGTAACTTTTACAAAATTCTTCCACTTATAACATAGCACAAAAGGCTGACTATGTTTTAATCAAGGCAAATACGGGCTGCATAAATACTTGCATTGAACAGAGAGTGCCATCATTCTTCATCCACAAGATTACCACTTGATCATCTGATGCATTACAGCCCAAAACTTGCTAGCCTATTAATTTGAGTTTCTTCCAGCAAAAATACCCTTATTTCAACACAGTACAAACCATTCCTCCCTGTTTTGCAAGCAAACACTATTTTAAACCTTTGCCTACTTTCCTCCAGACAGCTCTAGATCTCTGCTGCCCCATTTGATACACACAGGACTTCTCACCACCCTGATCAGCTCTGAGAGAAGAGAATAAAACATCCCAGTATAACTTAAGACTTTAGCTCAACTTTCGTATAGTAACAGAAGTAGCATGTTGCCTAACAGGTAACCAGTACTTTCTGCAAAGGGTTGTGCTAAGGGAAACATTTTATCAGTTTGCAAGGCATTATGCTTGTCTTCTCCTGAGAGGAATCAAATGATAAATACACTCATTTTACAGCAATGTATCTTTCAATGCCCAGACCAGGGCAGGAGGGATTATAAAAGCTTGGTTAACCTTCCTTCTGTTCCACTCCATAATCTACCAGCCGAGGTACCAGCCTTACACAGAGCTGTCACTAGGCTGTTCACTGCTCTTGAGCCCTGCCTGAGTCCAGCTCCCCCACCACTCTAGTGTTTGGCTTATATTAGTTGGTATTTTAATAATTTGACCTTAATGCAGTAACAACATGATAGACAAGGTTGCAATTCAAATGCCAAATCATCCATTTTGAACCCCTAAAACACCATTATATTTATCCCACCCCACCTGACATGAGAATGAAGTAATTATCCAAGATTTGTCCTCAGGTTAACACTAGTTCATGTTGCACTGCAGCTACTCAACTGCAACATCCTCTAACTGATTGAACTGAAGTTTATTTACAATCTATGGTTGCCTCTCAACTGACGATAACTGCTGAATACCGGTCTATTTTCCATTCACACTCCTGCAAGAAACATGCAGTTTATACAAGTGCCTACATGTTGGCTTTATTTCTTCAAAACTGGTTTTGAAAAAACATCAATGTATGTGTTAGAAGATTCTTTACACTGTCACCAACAAAAGTTACCACTTGTTTGTCCTTTTGCTTATCTGTTAAGCCTCTTTTACACTTAAAAGTTGCAATTGAAGCAAACAACCCATCCAAGATTAAATTACCCATCCAGTTTGCACTTCATTACAAAAGGAGATCAGAAACAGTAGACAACCTAAGCAAGGGGCAACCAAACATTTTTTTCATCATAAAAAAAAAGAAGGGAAGTTGAACAGGTGACAATTTACAGTTTAGTATCAACATGGGCACTGTTGTTACCTTACACCTAGGTACTGTTACCTCCATACCTTTGAACTCTGGAGACAGAGGCAGGAGCCCAGTTCTGTACTTATCCATGGGCTGATGAGTGCTCTTGACCACAAAATATCCCACCACCCCACAAAAGTTCATTTCTGAGGTTTGGACCCACTCCAGTTGAATTCCACATGTCCCTCCAGAAATGAGCAGCATAACTAAATGCAGTCTACTGCACTAGTGAAGGCTACAGTGAATTATAAACATTTAGCAGCTGATACAGGCATTTCTCCAGACTACAGTCTGGCATTAAACCACAAGGGACTCACTCATAACCAAGTTTTAAGTTCCCTAAAGCCCCAGAAGTCCACCAAGCGTAAAGAAGTTGCTTTTCCACAAACACTTTTCCTTCCACTAAGGATTATGAGTAAGTTATTCAATTCCAAGTAGGGCTTTAAAAGAAACTATCAGCTGATAATAATTAAATTAGCAATATTTTCAGTGTTACTTGCATCAAGAACTTCAGCTTCTTTAAGAGCAATTAAGATCCAGATCCCATCTTTCACCACCTGATAAAGATTACAGGATTTGGGAAAAAGTTAATTTACCATAAGAGTTGAGAACAAGACAGGGCAAGATCTCTGCTGTGCAAATTTCAATCCCAGACAAACACCACAAAAGTAGAACCAGACAGGAGTGTGGTATCAAATGGGCAAAACCCATGCAGAAGAACATCACTTACAACTCTTTCCACTGTCTCGGGACTTCACTTCCTAGCCCCTTACAAGACATTTCCATAGTCCAATGCACAAGCCTTTCTTTTAGAAGACATTTATGCTGACTCCGTATTAGGAAATTAAGCATTATTAGCAGTGACCAGGGAAGAAGTGGATGAAGAGGACTGCAAGGAGGTTCTCCAGAAGGATCCCATTTAAGTACTTCATCTCTCTTTTCCTAGATTTTCATTCTACACCTCACAAGCAAAGTCAGCACAATGAGCACTCCAAATGCATAAAAAAGCCTAATGGAAAGCTCAGCATGACTTGTACCATGACGGCATCAAAAGATTAATATTGCACCTTAGACTATCCTTTCCTTCAAGCATCTGCATAATACACAGGCCAAACAACTGAAGAACAGGACAGCCAAAGCAGAATTTTAATCTAAGATGCAAACCTGCTTTAGTAAGACACAAAACCAATCCAGACTGAATCTCTGAAGCTGGAGTCTGCCTCACAAAAGGTACTGTTTTAACAAATGAACTAGAATCTCCTGCCCCTGTCTACCTAAAAATTAATGAATTGTAGAATTGGAAAACATTCACGGATATCATCTAGTGCCAGTTATGTAAGCAAATGAAGACACTATTCCTGTAAACGATGTGTCAATACATAAAGATATGACTAGTCAAGACATAGTCCACCTGAAGTACAAGATAAATTTGGTAAGCCCAGAGACTGAATATTACTTCCAACAGCTGAGTGTATGGTGCCTTCTCTTTGGCCTCATCCAATAGCAGGTTGCATCCATAAACATTCAGTTTTTAGATGATCTTTGTTTCCTTCTTGGTGAATGAAGTTGTCCAGCTATGCAACTTGGAAGAATGATATGAAAATTAAGAAGAGAGAACAATGGCAGAAAAACTTAGGAATGAAACAGTAAATGATACAGGAGAGAATGAAGACAAAGAGCAAAGTAAGAAGAGAGTGAAGGCAAAACAAAGAATGGCCTATTTTTCTTAAGAGAAGAAGCAGAATGAAGACGTGATCTTAACAAACCTATTCAAGACAAGGCATGACACAGCATCTAATTAGTTCAATGGTGAACACAAGTATTTATTGCATATACTAGAATTTCAAGCCCTATTTTCATACGTCGAGTTGGTGGACCTTGAAGACAAGTGCTTCTCATACAATCACAATAGTAATTTTTGTTATACCAACTACAGGTTTGAAATAGCTAGAAGTGCCACATGTATGTAGGTTAGACATAAAAGTTGCGAAAGCTAGCATTCGGTTCATCTACTACAGAGATGAAGATGGACTAAAAGGCTACCATATAAAAAAGGTTAAAAAATCCAAGCGACATAACTCAGTTGTATCATGATATTTACTGATCCACACGTCAGTCAACGACTGGGCAGTAGAAGATCACCTCACCTCTTAAAAAAAACAATTTCAGTTACGCTACATCAGTGGGACTACCTACATATTTTGTTTGTCATATGTTGCATGTTTAAGTACTATAAGGAATTGCCTTGTCTTTATTCTAACAACAAACTACTTTTTTTTTTTTTAATATATTGATCCTGAGTATCACCTGTCCCTACTATAATATTACTTTCCTCCAGAAAAGGCTATTCTTGGAAAGACATACATGAATTACTGTCTGCTTAAAAAAAAAAAAATCCATTTGTGCTTAAGTTCCAGCTGTTCATTGTACAACCCCCTCACACGTAATATAACATAGTTCTACCTCAGACTACCGCTTGAAGGAATAGAAGGATTCGTTGATGGGGGATCTAAAATTGAAGTGTTTGGAAAACCAAAGTAAGAAATAGGTATTTCAACCTAGTTTAAGGCAGTTCTGGAAAGCAGTGCACTGCTGCTTCATACCCATTCAAAATTAGAACCAGTTTTCCGTGTTGCCAGCTTCCTCTCCTGTAAAGGTGTCCTGGCTCTTTTTTGCTTTGAAAAGGCACCACTAAAAGAGAAGATGGTTGAGACCCATCATAAGAAACTTATCTCCAAGAAGTTTTACAAGTAACCAGAGCAATCAGTAGGACCTAATCATATTTCTGCTATACATATCACTTCAAAATACATATGCATTAAAGACATAAATAGCAACAGGAATACCAGGAACTATAAATAAGAGACTAATGGGGTAGAGGAGATCAATTCTGGCAGTCCAGTGATCTTTACCCTAGGAGGAGCTTTCAATTGACTAGGGTATTCAGAGAGAGAACTATAAGAACAGTCAGGTTTTATTTCCACAGTTTGTCAACTGCAAGTTAATGAAGAGGTAGCCATGGCATCTTTTGTAATTATGTAAAAGCTAGCTTAGGTATCGAACCTAGAAGCCTATCACTTAAAGCCATATAGATTTGTATTACAGATATAGAAACTTAAGTACTTCAAGTAAAATAAAACCACTTTTTCCAAATCTAAATTCTATAGCAGAATTACTACAATGAATATGTATTACTATTCAATTCGTATGCAAAACATAGCACAGTTAAAGAGTATTTCTTAAAATAATAAACATGAGATAAGGAACAAATGCCATTTAAATGTGTAACTGTATGTACATAAACATCTAAACACTACATCCTGGGGCAAAGCGTTTTTACGTTACTATGTAGTCTTAAGCTCTCATCTTTAGCCTCCAATGTCTAACTTTAACTTCTCTATTAAAACAAAAATGAAAAAGCACCTTGTTCTGCCAAGAAGAGCCAAAGGAGAGAACCCACTGAACCAGTTCAGAATTATTTCACATTTGTCTGCGAACACACTGAATTAATGTCAAAGCAGCACAGTAACTTCCAGTGTTAAGTGTTAAATCAAGTCTGTTGTAAATGCCTACGATCAAAACTCATCTTCACCATTAAGTGAGACTACAGTAATCTCTGATTACCTTTTTATGCATTGCTCTTGTACTCGATATCATCCTTAGTGTTTTGCAAAAGCCAAGACAACAACTCAATCAATTATTATTGCATGGATAGAAGTTCAAAGACTCTGAATGCTGGGAGTATAATAATACGCAGAAATAATGTAGAGCTAAGTATATATTTCATGCATGTATCTAAACTGAGGGTTTAAAGTATAATATTCAATGTAATATACAATTAGATCATAGCTATTTGAACACAAAGTATTTGAGAACTCCTCAAAATAATCTGTATTCAAACGCAGATTATGCAATAACCTATTTTTTAAATATATGATTTACTTGGTGTGATAAAGCATGATATGGAATGCATTGCTTTAAGCAGGAGGCACCTTACTGAAAGAGCATACACAGAAGCCCAACTATCAACTCCTGAGCAATGTAACACTAGGCTAAATAGACTAGAAAAATGCATATTTCACTTAGAGCTCTAAAAACATGGCAAAGGACTGCAGCGTAAGTGACTCTGGAAATAACCCATCATCAAGAATAGATGTTACCTCACCATCACAAACTCTCAGCACCAAGAAGAATTTGGTTAAAGATATCATAGTTCCAGTTAAGTAACATGTGACAATCCACATCTAAGCAAACTAGTAGGAAGCTTACATACTCAAAGACTTTTACTAATCAATGTTATGCTTAAGTGTTTTTCAAGCAGGTACGCTTGCCTGAAATCCAAGCTCTTGTTTCTGGCACACTTTCAAGGCAGAGGAAAGACAAGAGCAGGGTACGTGTAGACTTGAGTATGAAAGAGTATCTCAAGAAAGCCGAAGTATCCAAGGCAGCAGCTGATTTTAATCATCCCGATCCACTGTCACCTCGGTCTCCTACTGCAATCACTACCCAAGTGGAAACCAATTAATAGATACCAAGCAGTACGCAAATATACCAAAGGCTGTATTAGCTTACAGTACACCTCTCCATGAAGTTAGAAGCCCTTTGAAAGGCTTCAACTTCCAGGAAACTGAATCACAGAAGTCCATGTAGTCAAGATGCTGATGCAGACTTTGAAGAATTATCCACTGTAGAGACAGAAGAACCTCTAAGTTGATAAGCCTGAAGAGTATGCAAGTGGTCCCCTAATCACTGCTTTCTCCCCACAGAAGTGGGAAGGTACACCTCCACCTTTTCATTGGAAAGGATTTACAAGTGAATTCACAGAATTTCCTTTGGTTTTCTGTAACTTGGAGCTCTATCAAGGATATAAAAGTAGACTTCAAAAGATAGAATGCTTTAAGTTTAGGCTTCCCGCTAACTACCATAATTTTACTGGCATGCTTATAAAGCTGAAGGTCTGTTTAAACTTAAATTATCTTTTAATTTTTACATCTGTTGGCATTATTAGTTTCAAATGTCAGTTGCATTTTAAAGGAGATGCTTTGCTGATATATTTGGAAGCGTTACGCAGTTGCAAAACTTTATGATTAAGATAAAATACCTTGAATATACACTTCAAGATCATCCACATACCAGTCAGACCCAAGACACATGGAAGAGAATGATACCATTCATTAATGGATGAACTTTAAGCCAATTCAGTGTCAAGATGGACAAGATTCATCAGTCCCATAACAGTGTAAAGAAAAAAAAATTAAAATCATTTAAAGCATACCAAAAATTTCACCTCTACCCTGTCTCTCAACACTTGAAGCCCAGTCGAGTCAAGCTACTCTCAGAAAGTAGTGGCAACCCATGCTGTTGGAATACAGAAAAGCATACCATAAGAAGAAAGGACAGTTTAACCATCATCTGTTGCATCACAGTCCAACAAAGAACAGTAGTAGACTACAGCTACTTTAGGAAAGGCAAGTTTGAGGCACAATCCACAGATGCCCTATTTACCAGCAAGATTAGGGCTTACTGGTTTGAGAAAGAGAAGTCACGCTCCTCATACGGGCTCAAAACCAGAAGCAGACTGGCAAGCGTTTTCAGTATAAGCAGCAGCTTTAACATGCTTTATAACTATACTAGCAAAGTCCTAAAAGCTAGTCCAGTTTTGTTAGCCATTTTCACTTTCCAAGTGGAAACTTGGAAATGAGTAAGCCTTTCAAAAAGCGTTTGATAAATGACCACAAATAACACTCAAAGTTTTGGATGTAGATAGAGACACAAGAGAAACTATTTTCATATAGAAGCTGAAACATTACAAAATCATAGAAAAATTTAGGTTGAAAGCAATATCACAAGGTCTGATCCAACCCTGTCCTCTAAGTGAGGCTAAATTTGACACTATACCATTCAATATAACCTCTGTCAGTCACAAGCAAAGTACATGTAATTTACTCTCTTAATCACACACACACTCACATCACACCTATGCTTCGTGTTCTGGGGATAAAAGCAAATATCAAAGAAGTGTTATGGCTGTTCCTTAAATGCTAGAATTTTGCCAAACTCCTTTACACATCTGAGAAACAGCAAAAGAGAACAGGTGATGAACTGTAGGAACACCTTGCAAACGGAGTGTAAGTTTAAAAAAAAAGAAAACCAAAACACAACCCACACACAACCCTGAGTAACAGACATTTCTTTATTGTTGAGAACCTGTATCATAGATCAGTACTTCTATAGAACTTAAACCTTCCCCAGACAAGGACGACCAAATGTCCCTATTTATTAAACGAAGTTATTAGTAAAAGAGAACTTAAGAGGAGGGAGAAACGTGCCAAACTTTTTCAAGTACGACTTCTGCTGTTTGCTTCTCGCATCAGTGAATCTTGAATTTCTCAGCTTGGGAGTTCCTTTTTTTCCCCTCCCACCTTTCTTGGCGTATATGGTTACAACACACTAGATTCACCCTGCGGAGGTAATACAGACAGAATGCGAGCATACATAGACTGCAAGTTTCAAGAAGTGCTGAATGTAAATGATTTAAAAATCTAACAGATCTTCTGCAGATTAAAACAATACAAACTAGGGAATGGATGCAACAGTTCATTATCTATCCTTATTCTTTTGCAGCAGAAAGTTCAATGAATAAATTGGGAAAAGCGTAGGATTCAAGTGCTGCCAAGAAAGAATGCTGACTGAAAACTGCTACTAGGATTATAAGAATTTGAAGCTATAATAAAAGTTTATTTTCATCATATAGTTCATGCATATCTTGCTGCAGGAAGTCTTTCCTTATCTTCCACAACTAAACCCCAATGAAGATATAATTTCAAACACCTGTCTACTAGCAATACACTGAGCATCTTTTGGATATCTAAGGATATCTACACTCATCAGGTATTTCCTTACTGTCTACTTCCTCCAGGTGCAGAGCAAGATTTCCACTAATTGTGAGCCAGCAGGTGGCATTAACATCTCATATACCCTAAGCAAACACAGCGTTAGCCAAATGCTGGATACAGGCAAACTTACAACCCCTATTTAAGCCCCATACCTAACGAGTAGCTTTCAGTGACAATTTGTACAATGGCACGGAAAATTAACTACAGTTGTGCATGAAGCATTCCACTATCCACTCCGACAAAATAAGACAGGATTGCCTTCTCCTGCCTGCCTGATGGTTGGCTGCATTTCCGGTCTCTCCGATCAGCACGACTATCAGGTGTCCACTGAGGAACTCGCATCAGAACCTTACCCTAGCATGCAATAAGGCACTTAAAAGGTGATGGCAACAGCAGTAATAAAGTATAACAGTAGGATCACATTTTTAATTTGTGCAATAAGCCTTTAGAGTAACAGAAGTGGGGATATGTTCCTCTTTAAATTATGATTTACTGCATAAGAAATTGATTTGGGACTCGGTAGATGTGGGTTCTTATTTTCTGCTGATTTTCAAAACTTCCTGTGCTGGTGCTGACAGGTACATGAGACTGCCATTAGTACAGGCAGAGAAAATACTTCCTTACCTCAAATAAATGTAGGAATAAAGTCCACTGAACACTGATGTGCTTGTGTTCCTGTGTTATAAACTCCTAAGTGGACATCCTATTTACAGGGGGTAGGAGGGGAAGAGGAAATCGGGCCTTTAATACAAACACCACTGAATTCCTATCAAAGTCCACAAGAGTAAAATGCAAAGTCAGTGCATCATTTCAACAATGGAAACAGAATTAGGAAAAAAGACAAAAACAAAACCAACCAAAAAACCTCTTTAAAACCAGAAATATATGGGGACATTTTTCCTTTTCTATCACCTTGAAGTTCAAGTAATTCAGAACATGACTTGAGAAGGCTAAAAAGAGTCCAGTGGACAGGTTTTTAAAACAGTCATTCAAACTTACTCTTAGTACTGTACGGAAATAGCACCTTCATTGCCCTGGAGGGGAAAGCAGAAATTAAGATCCAAAAAGGACTAGGAATTATTGTCTCTGAGTATACGATGAAAACAGTATTAGCACGTTCAGTGAACACATCAGCCACTTTTTGAAGCTATTGAATGAGTAAATTCTAATACAAAATTTCACTTTTATTTAATAAGAACTGGCAGTCTTAAGATATTGATCCCCTTTGCATTGGGAAAGTTTATAAGATTATTCCCATGCACCTGAATGAGCTAGTGGAGACAGCTTTCAGTAACCACCCATCTTCCATACTAGAAATCCCAGTGTTTTCATGTAAATGCATGCTGGAATTCAGGTGGTTTTGATTTAACCCTACCCTTCCTTTTTTTTTTTCTTTTTTTTTTTTTTGGTCCAGTGGAAAAACTTCTTAGAAGAATTCCAGGACCTGCCACAGATACAGAAGGAAGTTAATGAAAAATGTTAATATTCTACAAGTCCATGTACTGCTACACAAACAGATATAAAGAAAAGCTGATACCTAAACAGTACTACCATTCAGTCACTTACCACCGAAGTAATAAAGTCTAGAACAAAATTTAAATCTTGGACATTCACGTAATACCTGTTTTCTGATAATGCTTCAATTTCTTACAGGTAGCAAGTTCCTGGACTATTTCTAGAGTTCACTAACCACTGCATTTCCTGCTCCGAGACATTTGAACAGAGACTCCTATTCATTTATAAATATTTACTTGTCACCAGCTAAATATTACAGACCTTACATCTAGAAACTCAATTCTTCTTGTCCAGGCACTCTGAAGAGCTTGGCTTTTGGAATTTAAATTTCACCTTCTGGATTCCCATGTAACAAGCACCTCTGAAGAAAGTCCAAGATCGTATGAATGGAGAGAAACGAATAAGTGGTTCCACTGCATACGAGAATCTGGGAATAATAGCACAAGCCTTCATGTATCACTTTTTCACAGTTCTTACTGTAAAGACTTGCCCGAGGGCCTGTGCTTAAGAACAGGGGAAACCGAGACCATGCTTCCACTGAAGCCACAATGCAAAAGCAGCAGACAGTTTGCCTGCTACAGATGACCTTTACTGCAAAGGGCTGCAGTAGATCTGCAGAGAGAAAGATCTTCAGCGCATGAGAAAACCTCAGGCAAATCAGTGGATGTTTGTGGTCGATGTGTGTTTAGTAAGATATGATCTCTTTCAGGAGTATGGGAGAAGCTGATGCTTTCCTTCTTCACACATACAGACCCCTAGAAGTACAGAAGCACGTGCTTTGTCACCCTGCTAACCAGGGCAACAGTATAATTTTGCTGGTATAACTTCAGACCTACAAAAGAATCGATGTTAACTAGCATTACAACTTAAGTTGTAACGCCTCCTGGCCTGCTTTGAGACATTTAATATTTCACGCTAGAAGTGAGTACAGTTTGCAGATCACATTTTAGTACGTGGCTTCAAAAGACAAATTGGTAACTTAGCATTTCAAACCACAACAACTGACAAATTTAAAACTTCCTTCCACGACATTATCCAGAACCTGGGTTTTAGAAAAGGCCTTCTGTTTCAAAAGCCAACCAAGACGCTAGGCCCAGGACAAAAGTGTTGGTCACTAATACCTTTCCTTTTAGAAAGCATTGACAATATTGATATTACAGGAAGTTATTAAACAGCTACTAGTAATGTAAAAGGGAGTGATAAAAGACATATGACCACACATGCAGCTTAAGTTTGGGGGAAAAAAGCGCTGCATTTTTTGCATACCAATTATTTTAAATAACAACCCTGGTCAAATTTCACTTTTCTCTCATGTTCTTCCATAGTCGCTATATGTCTAGAAAACAAACACTAAAACGAAGAGGTATTTTCACCTGTAAATAGTAGTTAGATTGTTTATAAGATATACAGTATCACTGATGACTTCTGGCCTCCCAAGAACCCTTTGCTATATGAAGGCAATGAAAAAGGCAAACCCCAAACCTCTCAGTCTGACAAGGCTTTAAGTTATTTTGTGATACGTAAGTTCCCCCTCGCCCCCAAAAACGGTATTTAAGAACTATTAAACTTCACCCCATTCATTGCATATGAGGAGCAATCAGTACTAATAACTGTACTTCAGGACTGTAATAGCCTGGCTTGAAAAGCATTATTCTGAAAAATAGTATGTACTGAAAAATAAGGTTACCTAGGCAATGTAAGACACGAGCCAACAGGAAAAACAGATCTCTGGGTCTGTACGTTTGTACAAGGGCTGGAATAAATGGCAACATCTGTAGCTCAGGTCCTTTTTCCCCGGCAGACAGGGATGCTGGAGGCCCGACGTGAATCCCAGCCGAGCCAAAAGGATGTGCCCATGTGCTCGCCCCTCTCCCGGCTCCCCCATTTGCTCACCCCCACCGGGGACTACTTTTGTTAAGGACAGCGCTATA